AAAATCCCAAAAAGTAACAGGTAAGTCTGTCTGCTAATGAATAGCCCTAAGGTAACATTTTTAGGAATAACACCTACCTCATTTGGGCTCTACATGGATCATAAAAAAAGACCATCTAAGAAGCCACATGTTTTCTGCAAACTTAATGCATTTGCAGAACAAGCCATCAGAGGAAAAGCAAAGCAGAAACCTGAAACTAATGCACTATCCTGGTTTCAGCTGAGATAAAGTTAATTTTCTTCCTAGTAGCTTCTAAGTTTTGTGGGTTTTGGATTTAGCATGAGAATAATGTCAATAACATACTCATGTTATAGTTGCTCAGTAGTCAAGGACTTATCCTATATCAAGGACTTTCCATTTTCCCATGCTCTGCCAGCAAAGAGGTGCACAAGAAGGCAGGAGGGAGAATGACCAGGACAGCTGGCCCCAACTGGCCAAAGGGATATTCCATACAAAAGAGCATCCTGCTCAATCTGTCAGCTGGGGGAGTTGTCCCTGAGGGGCTGATGGCTGCTTGGGGACAGGCTGGGTATCGGTCAGTGGGTGGGGAGCAACTGTGCTGTGGATCACTTGTCTTAGTCATGTTTTATTTCTCCTTCTCTTCTGGTTGCCTCCCTTTTCATTATATCATCACTATTATCATTACCACTACTATTGTTATTATTGTTGCTATTGTTATATAATTATTAAACTGTTCTTATCTCACTGCATGGGTTTTACCTACCTTTTTTCCCAATTCTCTTACCCATCCCATACTGTGTGGGTATGGGGAGTGAGTGGCTGCATAGTACTTTGTTGTCATCTGGGGTCAAGCCATGACACTCATGCTTCCTATACAGCCTGAAAATAGTACAGATTCTCCAGACAAAACTGCAAAACCTGAGCTCTGCCTCAGCTACCAATGCTGCCTCAGGTATTTGGCCTCTCCCCACAGTCCAATGAGCCTGAATACACAAACACTCTTGGGGCACTTTTTAGAGATATTCAAATCATGATGAAAACCTTTTCTCATGCAGCCAAACAGAGATAGGATGTTTTCAGGAGGGAGCAAATTAACTGCCATACCTAAATACTTCCCAGTTCACCTGCACTTCTTATCTTTCCCACACCAGATTTTGTCTGCCAAATGCAGAGAAGAGTGTAGTGTATATATGTGCAGTAAATATGCAACAAACTGCATACAAGTAATACATGCACTAGACTGAATTTTTGTATCCTCATAAGCAATTCATTGGATTAAGGACTCAAAGTCCCACAGGGAGTACTGCAAATACACATTAAGTCTCTGGGTGCTGGATTTGACTCTCTGACGTATGTAACAGATGTGTAAAGTAACACATAACCAGATGCCTCTCTCGTAAATGCACAGCTAGAGACTGAAAAGCCTTAAAAATGTTGTGTCCAAGAGCAAAAGAAAAGGGAGATAATAAAAACAGAACCAGATATCTTAGCAAGAAATTAGGCCCTATGAATTCCTTGCCTACAATGCTGAAAGTTTTCATGTCTGTAATTCAGCTATGGTATCTCAAAAGAGAACTTTTCAGGAGGTGGGAGTCCATCCATTGTGGCCTGATTCGCTCCATGCCAGGGTGATAAACCGTTTCCTGACGTCTTTGAAATTTCAGGGTCCTACTTCTAAAGCCTCCACTGTGATTTCAAAGACCTCCATCCAGAAGAGTGGTCTAACTCCTTTAGAAGAATGAAATACTAGGAAAAAAAAAAGCATATGGCTGTATAACAGTCACCACCACAGAGGCATTTCTCCTTTCCCTGAGTTGGTATATCCTGGCCACAGTGGCTAGGAGAAAATAGCTGCTATGCTTTTGCAATAACCTTCTAAGGCAGAGGAGAATGGTGGGTGAGAAAAAGTTAAAAGCCTCAGTTTAAAATTTTTGGCTACTCCCATTTCATGAAGTAACTTAAAACCACTCTGCTAGAAACTGTGTGAACCACTGACTTCAGATCTGGATCCTGCCTTTTTGCAAAGCTGCTGGTAGGCTTGGATCCAAGGCTTCAGTTCAAGCTCTTATGTACTCCATACTGAAATGACTTACACCATACATTCTTTATAATAAATGGCCTCACAGTGAGGAAGGACAGTATTGGCACAGTTCATCTTTGCATCACTCTTTTGAAAATTTAGGGAAAGCACTGGAAACATTACAGCTTTTAAATATTTTGCCTCACAGGGTTCACAGGCAGCATTGTGAATGGCTGTGCAAGCTTCACCCACTTTCCTGGGACAGTCAGTGTGACTCCCAGGCGGGCAGTGCCCACCAGAGCCGAGCAGAACGGGCCTGGTGGCATTGGCAGGGCCGTGTCTCACCACAGTGCTGCCCTGCACTGTGCCACTGCATCTCCTGCCTCCCTGCAGTGAAGGTCTCTGTCCCCACCACCTCCTCTTTACAAAGGCTCACACACACATACTGAAACAAAAGAATAATTCCATTATGTGCCTGACAGCCTGTGAGCTTTCCTTCTGATTCACAACAGCAGTGCCCCATTGAAAAGATACATATAGAGGGGGCGGGAAAACAAAAAAATCTTAAGAAGTCTCTAGCAAGCACACGTATTATTAAAGCCTCATTTCCACTTAACACAAGTTGCTTTGGGATCTAATGCAGCTGATTTGAGGGGGAAATACAAACAAACAAAGTCTTCTTCCATCAGCCAGGGCAGGGGGTGGGGAAATCGAACCAGTGACATCTTTGTTGAAGAGCTCCACAAAACTCATGGTTCAGGAGAGCTGAGGAGCATGATCAGGGGACAATTTGTGACTGATCGCTGCCATCTGAACATGGCATGCTGACAGCTGAATGAAGAGCGAAACAAAAAAAGCGTGTGTTTAATCTGGGCAGGCTCAGTCCCCTGTGTTCACTTCCAGTGAAAAATACAAAGCAGGAGAGAGTCAGCCTCTCTGCCTGCTCAGCTCAGCACCCACATAACTCCCTGGCATTTACCACAGGGCCTTCTCCAGGCACACAAATGGAGGCATTATTTCTTCACATGGTGAAAAAAATAAGAAAGGAGAAGGATAGCGGTACAATTTAATATATCCTAAAATGATCTTTTGGCACCAAAGACATTCCCTGCAATACTCTGACAGTGGGCTCCTGCACTCCCCAATGCAAAAAAAGCTAAAAACAACCTCAATGATTTTTTGAATGAAACATAGAAGTTGATAAAATTATTATAAAGGCCACACAGATGCTACAAAACGCCTTTTCCTGAGCTTCAACGTGCACTTCCTCCGACAGCAACAAGAATGCAATTGTGAAAGGAAAATCATGCATGTTATCCTGATCTGACATCAGTGAAAAGAAGGTAGCAATAAAAGAATTTTGATTTGTGCTTCACAGAACCAGGAAGGAATGCTTGCCTCCAGGAGAGTGGGATGGACAGAAAGCAAGCGTGGGCTGAGGGTGATCACACAACAGAGCGCTTCTCTCTCACAGGTTTGGCCAAGACTGTCACCTACACCTGAAATAGGGCTTGCCCCAGAGAGTGAGGCATTTCCCTACCTCAGCCTTCAAACAGGTTTGCATTAATACCTCATTTCACAACTACAAAAATTGCCTCAGACTCCTGCTGAAAGAGTCCTGTATTCCTGTTCGGGCTCACAGTCCCTAGTGCAAGACCTGCACATAAAAAGGAGTTGGCTACACTGATTTGAAAAACTTTTGACCTTTTCAGAAAAATCAGTACAAATACCTACAGGACCACTACAATTTCCCAAGCAATGGCTCCTGTCCACTGACCAGGAAGGAAATATTTAGCTCCCTGCAGTGGGCCTGTTGATTTCAAAGGAAACTTAATAGCTCGGTTCCTACAAAGCAAATACAGAGCAATCACGGGGGTTCGGCTATGCTCTCCTCTCTTCTGAAATCTGGTAAGCAACATATGTCTGCAAATGCCACTTGCCAAAAGGTTTTGATTCTCTGCACATTTTTGGGAACATATATCCTGCTTCTTCAAGGTTATATGTGTCTGTGATTCTGCAGATTCCTTACAGCAGTTTAGTCTCTTTCAGCACAATTGTGGGGCAGAATAGAGTAAATAACTTAAAATATTTAAGAAAGATGCTGGTGCTTTTTTGTGTTCATTTATGCAACATTTTCATTGGTTAAAAGTTTTACAACTGTAGAATTTTCTCCTTAGTTGATACAGGTATGCTTCTTTTCTAATGAGAAATGAAAACAAAAAAAAATGAAGACTAGAGGAAAAAAGGTGAGCTTTTCCTCATGCCTCATCATTGTCTTTATTAAAAAAAAATTAACTCTGGACAACACAATTCAGCCTCAATCAGAGAACTCTTAGTTCAGTTCCTATTCAAATATCCAAGTGCTATTTGCAACTCTAGTTATGAAAGGGGGACATTATTTTCTTTATATGTTTAACTTCATTTTTTCAAAGACACACTGATGAAGCAATTAAGGCAGACGTATTATTAAAGCTGGTGTAGAATTCACAGGCTCTGCTAAGATGTTTGGTATTTCAATGAGGTGTTTAAACATAAAAATGAGAACTATGTATTTCATATAAAAGTATCACTGAAGTATGCTGTAAAATCAGATTACTCATGACATTCTCACCAACAGTAAGAGATTTGTATATGCATTTTTCTGGCTGTGTGTTGTATGTTCTTCAATCACTTTCTTCAATAGTTCCCATATGATATAGATTCCAAACTAGGAAATATTTAGGCTCATGCCTAACTTTCAGGGAGAATAGCCTCATTGATTTAAACAGGGTTTAACCCTTATAAATGTCAGAATGATTGCCTGTTTCTGGGATTGGAACTCATGGGGCCCATTTTCAAAAAGATAAGTGCATTACGTATTTTTACTGCTGTTTCTGGGTTTGCCGTTACAGTTCTCTCCCTCCCTCTCCTGCCTGTTTTTATTGCCTTCAACAGCAATAACATGACACTCTGAGGTAAATAATAATTAATTTAATTACAAACTAACTGTAACTTATGACAAGACCCTCCAATCACTTACCTCAAATCATGAGTGTTTCAAGAAGCAATTGTTAATCTCCTTTTTTCCCCCCTCTCACAGGAGATGTTGCAGACTTTTTTTTCTGGTATTTTGCATTAAAACTCCTTCCCTGTGCTCCAGGATCTTAAACAAAAACAAAAAAAGAAACACTCAGAATGAAAATGTCATTTCAAGCAATTGGTGGGTGGCTCAGGGGAAATCCCTGACCTTTTTTGAATGTATATTTCATTATCTAAAGCAAGTGTGGTAACTTCCTCCAGCAGCAGCTCTTCTGTGGGCTGTACTTTAAAAAAAAAAAAAAAGACGCAACTGAACAAAAAAAATAAAACACTGGTTTAGACCGCTCAAAAACATGGTATTTTAAAAAATCCATAAGATAGCACAAACTTCAAAGTATTAATTTAAAGCACAATCCAGGACATACCAGACTCCACAAATTTATGATGGTGAAAATGGAAGAAAACCCAGAACACAAACCAGAAGAAAAATCATTATGTAAAGTGTTAAACTGCTACACAGTTTTATTATTGCTATCACTGTTATTATTACTAATAAAACATACACAGCCCTTTCCCTCAGTCTTCAGTGAGCTCCTGTAGTATTTCTGTAGTAGCAGCGTGGGGGAAGTAGTAGCCGTGCTGGAGAAGCAGTGCAGCATTAGCACTACAAAACCCAGCCCAGCTGTCGAGAGGAAGGAAGGGAGGAGGAGCGACAAAGCAAATGAGTTAAGAGTAACTGGCAGGGCTCTAATACAATCAATTTTGACATTCTCCACCATCACCAAAAAAGGTCTGAAGGGTTTTGAATTTTCAGCAAGTGCTGCTATACCAGAACAGTTTCTCACCGCCCCCTGCTTCACCCTCCTCCCTCTTCCATACCTGCAGCAGGGCTTGGCCAAGAGCCAGCTGAGTACGTAAGACTCCAAACCAGGCTCTGTCAGCAGGAAAACAGTGCCAGCCAGTGCAGAGTTCACGTTCCCTCTGAGAGCGTGGTCTTGCATTTGCATGGCCTCTCTGGATTACAAGCATCCCAGTTATTTCTCTGCGAACAATTTTTAGGGCCAACAACCACATCCATTTTTGCTGTGTAAAAAGCCTGAAAGAAACTGTTCCCAGGGTTACACCTGTGGCTACCCTCACTGAAGCCAACAAATTTACACAACATGACAGTGAGAGGATTTGACCTTGTGTACGTGTAAGCCAGAACACTTTGATTCTTTTCCTTGGCTAGAACAGACAGGCATGAATAATTTTCCCCTTGTTTTTAATTAAGAAATGGAGACAATATTCACAGTCTTCTGTGGATGTATATACCTCAAAAAAGACAACTTTTCCAAAAGTGTTCAGAAATTCAAAAAGTACGGCTTTTAACACCACAGTGTATTCCCCCACATACCCTGGAGGAAAACAACCCAAAACTTGAAGCAGACGACAACGCACAAATAAGGGAGACTTTGACACCTGTACAAAGGCTGTGCCTGTGTCACCACTCCCCAAAGCTGCTTTGCTGGTACAAAATACTCTGCTTAAATCAGCCTGGGCCCCTACTCCACCGTGCTTATTCACACTGACGTGGTGCTGCCTCTTTCTTCAAGAAGCCGCTCTCACTCAACACCAGTCAAGGCTGCGAGAGCCAAGCCTACCATTTGCAGGAAGCGGACAAAGCCCTCTAAATCTGTGACACAAATCCAGAGAAGGCTGCAAGTTCAAAGTGAAATGAGGACAGTCTGTCCATGACTCATGCCACCTAGAAACCATTCTTAATTTAAGAAAAAGTGTTAGAGAGATTATTTTACAGAGCGTCACACTGCCAAATCAACTATGTTCTGCCTCTCATTTTTTTCCCCAACTCAAATACAAGGTGGCCAAAGATCAAAATCAGCATAAAATCCTCCTGTTCTCACTTCATGTACTTCCATTTTTAATGCTCTGTTTAAAGAGTCAAATAAAGCTGTTTGATGGACAGATTCCCAGCTATCCTCCAGGCTTTTCTGCATGACCTACAGGCAAATGCTATGTGACACTTCCTGAAAGGCTAAAATAGCTCTGAATGACACTTGAGCTTCTATAGTACAACTACAGCATGAGACTTTGGCTCCTAATGCACATTGTCACTTAACCCAAATTTTCCCCTGCCTCACTTTCCCCAGCCTCTACAGCAAAATAAGAGTATCCCCCCATCTCAGAGGACTGATGCAAGCAACACAACACCTATGCTGATTTAGTGGATAATCTGGAAACACGGAGAAAGTTACAGAAATTTACAGATCTCTTAACTTAGTCTGAAACTTCACATACCCAGAAAAAGACCCTGCAAACCGAAATAAGGAGTGAGTCATCAGCCTGTCCCTCTGAAACTGTTTTGCTGGACAGTCATTTTACTAGTACAACTCTCTTCTCCAGGGTGCTCCCAGCAAGCGTGGGGGACACTGAATAGATTCACTGTATTCACACAACAGCTTTACAGCTGCTGAAAAAAGGCCTATTGTAGGCCTGCATTTTACTATCTCAAGTAGCATACATAAAGTTGCTGTACAGATTCCATTACCCATCTGATCCTTACAGAAACAGGAGCAACAAATCAGGGTTTGTCAAAAGAAAATAGATTTAACTGTGATGGAGGAAATAGTCTGGCTTTTTTTTAAAAAAAAAAACAGAAGTAACAATTTATATATCAGAGGACGAAAGTCTAAAAATATGTGCTCTTCCTGCAGTCACTGTCTACTCATGGCTTGCACCTCCATCCATCCAAAATATAATATTTTCTCAGTAACCAAAATAGTATCAAAACCACTTAAAAACGGAATTATTGGGTCACACTTTACAAAGACTCACTCAACAGCCAGATAATCTTGGACTTTGCAAAACATGTGAGTAGATATGACAGCCCCTTTCTAAACATCTTGATTTTTCTTGTAGTGTCTGTGGAGTCAGGGAAAAAGGACGGTCCTCAATTAGGCACATTCCTCCCAGCATTCGACTACTCTACTCTCCCCCTTCTGGAGAAATGAATGCAGCTTCAAACAAATTAAAGGAATATTTTGTCAGCTCCTTCACTCTTCCCAGTGCAATAGATGAGGCAGTGCTTGGCTGCTCTAGCTCCCAGCAGAAGCAGGTCTGAAATACAAATCCTCCTTCCTCCTCCCATACACACAGCATTAACCCTGCCAGCTGCAAGGACACTGAATTCAGCCAGGGCTGTTAGCAGACTATCCCAGCTGCAGCGCACGCTACTACTAACCCCCAAGAATTAAATGTTGGTTGATCAGCACACATCTCCCCAAAACACAGTACTTCCTTCAAAAGCAACAAGATTGGACAAAAGTTACAGGATCAATTTTTCTGCTTTCTGGCTTCAAAGCCACAGGAACACAACAGGTGCTATGCTGCTCTGTACTCAAAGGTAGAAACATTTTGCTTTTCAGTGAAAACTGAGACAGGCACTACCCCTTGTTTTGCCAGCTTGGGACCTTAAGAAAATACCAAGAGAGTAGCAGCCTGATAAAATAACAGCAGTAGGGCACTTCTTTCCTCCCAGTCTTCCTTCATTTCAAAGTGGGGCCTCTCTCAAAAGGCCGATGGAACTGAATGGACTGAGATGATTTTCCATTCTAGGTAAATTGCATGTTTGCTATGGTAGCATGACTTGACTGTGATCAAAACGGATGAAAAACCACAGCAAATGGAAACAAAGACTCAAGTAAAGAGAGAAATGAAACCCCAAGACAAGCTTCTGAGAAATACTCATCTCTTATTTCTGGATTTGGGCTTGCCTACCTCCAAGCCTTGGGGGCAGACAGAACTGCCAGCCTCCTTTGCCATCCCCAGGGCAAGCTGCTCTGGGGTGGGCCTGGGCAAAAGTAGTACTATTGCACATGACAGGACACAGCCAAGGCCAGTTGAGAACAGTGGATTGCTAAAATATGATCTCATTTTGGAATGAGCTATGAGGGATGAAAAATGACAACACCAGGCCCTCTGCACACCTCTTGCCGTGGGAGACAGGAACTCTTCACCCCAAATCTCACAGGAATGTACCTACCACTCTCCCTTGCCTCTGCCAAGGGTCTGGCAGGCTCAGGCACATGTTCCTACATGCCATTTACTTCTTGCCTTCTGCTCATAAGCACACACACTGCGAACTCCCCTCTCTTCTTAACAGCTGAAGTGACTTTATTGCACGATTTTTGGACTAGAACTACCAGCCCACGCTCAGTGCCCCCATGCCTTGATGCCACCTGTTTATCATTACAAGGTGACACAGAGCCATGCTCCCCCCACTTACCCTGAGGCATGTCATGTCTTTCCAAGTCATAAAGCCCCAGACTCATCAGGTGCTGACCTCAGGCTCTCCCTGGCACCCTAAGTGCCTCCTTTATCCCAGCATGAAGGTCTGAGAGGGACAGACTGCATCACAAGTCAGTGGCTTCATCCCTTGGCAGCAACCCTGCCATATGACTGCCTGTGCTCAGAGGCACAGCCCTCCTTGGCTCACGACCTCTGAAAACAAGGAATGCCAGTGGATGAAGAGCTGAATACCCTCCACCCACTCTTTCACTGGCCAAGCTGTTCTGAACAGTAACATACATCCCCCTGTAAAAGTTCAGCGTGCTGCCCACAAAAAGCAGCAGGCAGGCATGCCTCTGCTAAAGAGCACATATAGTTTAGAAAGAGATGGTAAGAAAACGAAATATGGTGTGATATTCAATGTGCACATATATTCTGGGTTCTTCAAAGGAAGGGCTCTAGAAAAACAATAGAAATTCCATGTTGTTTGGAACAGATGGGCCTCGTATTTTTTTTCTATTGCCTTCTGCTTTACTTACTCATCTCACCTACCTTCTAGCTATATGAGGTTGTTTTTTGGGATCTAGTTGCTTGCTGCTATATAGAAAAATCTGAACAATCAACATTCCTTATACAACCATGTACCTCCAGTGACAGAGAGTACAGGACACATTCAGGACACTTCAGAAGAAACCTGTGATGACCTTTGTTGCAGGAAACTTTGGAGGCCTGACCATAAGCTGTTTTTAGAACAGAAATTTGACTAAGCCACAACCAGCTCAGCACCACTGTGGTTTGGTCTTACTTTTTGAGAGTAGCAGGACAGACTATGCCAGC